AGTATATACACAGTATACCCATACAACGAAATTCACAGACACCCAGAGACCAGACACATGCACACACATAAAATTCCCCAAACACTCCCCACCCACTAAAAGTCCCCCACTAAAAATACAAACATCTACACCGCAGGCCAAGTAACACAGTCCAACTAATTATTCACTACTGGTGGTCTTTAAGCTCATTATTAATTGCAATTATAGCTCTGGGATAAAAACTATTTAGAAAACGTGTGGTCCGAGTCTTAATTGTTCTATATCTTCTGCCAGACGGTAACAGTACAAAAAAGTTATAAGCAGGATGGGAAGAGTCTCTCAGGATGCTGTGTGACTTCCTCAGACAGCGGGATGTGAAGATGTCATCCAGAGTTGGTAACTGGAGCCCGATGATATTCTGGGCAATTTTAATGGTTCTCTGTAGAGCTTTTTTGTCCGCTACAGAGCTACTCCCAAACCATGCCAGAATGCCATAGGTTAGGACACTCTCAATGGTGCTACGATAGTAGGACAGATGTAAATACTGAGATAAATTTAACTTGCCGAGCATTCTCAGGAAATACAGCCTCTTCTGTGCCTTCTTCATTAGCATGTTGGCATTTATAGTCATATGGCTGATGATAAGTATTCATAGGAACTGTAGTTCAAATGATGAGCAAAAAATTCCCCTCCATTGTTGTTGAAAGTCATTGCTTTAATATTACTCATAGTAATGTATTGCCAGCAAGGATTCAGTGTTAGTTGCAAAACAGTAGTGGAGTGTTTGGCAGCTTTGCATTCTGCCTTTAATAGGATTGGCCAGGAGGAACCTTTCTAGCCTGGGGTGACTTTCAACTTATCCAGCACTAACCAATTGTTCCTTCCTGCCCCTGAATTCAAAGAAAGTCCCACCTCTTTGCTCCGTGCTTTTTTCCTTCCCCTTAGTCTATTGGATGCAAGGACTCTGAAGTCTTCTGCTAAAAGCAGCCGTGTTTTGTCTGTTTGCTAGTTTGCTGTTTGATCTATTCAATTGTAAGTAATGAAACATTGTATTCTTTCTCTTACAAATGCCTCAGAGTAAGTTGTTGAGACTGTAAGTGCCAGCTTAATGAGAAAAGGAGTGGGCTACTCTGGAGAACTTCAAACTACAGTATTCTACTTTGTGAATCCTTGCATTTCTGCTATGCAGCTAGAAAAAAATTAACCAAAACTTTACAACTCTGCAACAGTAACCATGCTAGCCATCCTATTGGGTCAAAAAGCTCACCCACGTTTTAGCCAGGGAGTGCAAGCTTAGCCAGTTGCCTGAAATGAACCAAGAAGAAAATTTCTCTGTGGAACCCAAACTGGTCCTGGTGGGGGGGGATGCAGGTCTTTGCTTTCTCTGCACTGCCTTCCTCTTGGACTGCTGGTGATTTGTTTCTTCAAAGTTATTTCACTTCCATTGCTTTCACTTTGCTGCCTTCATCACAGGATTCTTCTTAAAGGAATCTATCATCCTTACATCTCTGCTATATAGTTGTTCAGTATATTGTTTCCATCTTTTCCTAAATTTATCCTGGTCAGATACATTCCCCATTTTATCATTCAGCATCTAGGTTTACATTTCCCTTTTAATTTCTTGGATCTTATGGAAGAGAAGTTTTGTTTTTCTTATTTCATTCTCTTCTTTTACTTTGCATAGATTCTTGTAATACTTCTTTTTGGTCCATGTGTGACAGTCATTGACTTTATCATTACCAGAATAAAATACTTTGTAATTCTCTAGTTTAAAATGTCATACTGTATTCCAATCCCTTTAAGTTCAATCATACCAAGTGCTACAATGTGTAAAGGCTTCAATTCGTGATTTATGGTTTTTGGCCTTACCTTGATTCATAGATCATATTTCATGTCTGAAATATATATGTTGTACATGATTGGGCTCTCCTTTTGCCTCTGTGCATACTGGTCACTGAAGCCCTTTAGTCTTTAATATAGAAGCTTCATTAGCAACAATGCTATTCATACCTTCTCAATCGTCAATACACAGTCTTCCAACCTGAGAGTCTCATCTTGCAGCACTCTCTCTTGATTCATTTAAAATTTTCTCACCAAAAGGGTTTCAAGCTAAGAAACATGCAAAAGTACAGTAGTTTACTATTGGACAGTACTAACAAAAGTGAGCTTGGGCTTCACTGCCATAGCCTGTGAAAGATCCTCTGCCAGTGTCGAGTAGCTGCTATTGAGGAGTTTCTGTGCTCTCATCACCTGGGAACACTCAGCTCTTTTCTACTTATGTGGCCAGTATTCCTGAAGAGACTGGTGGATGCATCTTAATCTTATATCTATTGGTTTTGATCACTTTGCCTTGGGTGACCCTGCTAAGAGTGCAAGACCTATAATGGAGTCTAGCCATCTGACAATATTGCTTTTCGCTTTCCTGACATATTTAGATCTCCTTGCCACATTGCATGTGCATCCGAGGGGGAGAGGAAAAGGAAGTCAGAAATTATTTTTAATTCCATTCAGGTTGCACTGCATAGGATGCCTAAAATGTGCATAGATCTCTTAGATACAGCTTTATTATTATTTTTAAAGTGATGGTCTTCAAATGCAAGCTTAAGAGCAGTAGTGTTAAGGGAAAATGACATAAATAATTCACGACAGTCAATAAATGGGCAACATTACAATTCCCCCCCTCCCCAAATGAATTGGATGCAAACAGATTTTTTGGATTAAGCCCCAAACATGAATCTGTGCAGATAAAATGCTACATGCAGTAGTAGTCATGAAGGAAAAACATATTTGGCTGCCCTAGTAACGTGACCTTGAAGTGTTGCTGTCTTCTCCTTCAAGACCCAATAAACCTGCATAAATGAGTCACATTTGTAAATCACTATTCAACCACAATGTATGCATCCAAGAGAATGAGGATTACGACACCCAGTGCCTGCTGCCTGCTGACAATCATGGGAACTGATCTCAGCAATAAATCCAGGCATTATCTGGCTCAACATTGACCAGTTCTCACGCTACAAGAAATCTTTTGATGTAACTGTTGAAACCCAGGAATGGCCCAGAGCAAAAACTGTAACCTATCATAGCAATAGCAGTCACTATTATTTAACAGAATATGTCTTGCACCCTTTCCCAGTAATAATTGTATCTGTATGGATCATGCTATATTGCTTTTTTCAGAGTAAAAGCAACTGCTTTAAGCTCCGAAATTCATGCATACATAAAGAGAAAAGGCTTGTAATATTTGTGCATGTAATTTCAACACTGCATTTGATATTACCATATAGCAAATGGTAATATCAAATATCCCCTGATGATGACAAAAGAAATGTACACACATGCTACTCTCTTCTCTCTTTAAAAAATCAACATGTATTAAAAGGGAATTTTTATTTATTTTTTATTTTATTTTATTTTATTTTATATGCCACCCACACTACCCAAAGGTCTCTGGGCGGTTTACAACATTTAAAATACAATAAAAATTCAGAACAATTAAAATGCAATTAAAATATATATAAAAATTGCCATCAGACCCACAGCTAATATTATTTCAATTAAAAGCCTTCTGGAACAGGAAGGTTTTGACCTGATGCCGAAATGTCATCAGTGTTGGCGCCAGACGAATCTCTGGCGAATTATACAGACACTAGAAAGTTTTCAGCTTCACTTTTCATGATTATACACAGTTAAATATGTGTCTGTGTATCCTGTATAAATCTATGCAGATATATGTCTGCTCAGGAAAAATGGCACATTGAGAAAATGCAAGGCTATTAAATGGTCACCATGTCAAAATTCA